CTCTTTTGCCCTCCGCTCAGCGTCACTGGAGCGGGCCCCAGACAACACACCGGGTGACGCGGGTATGAAGGAGTCGACCCCAGTGGCCGCGCTGCCATCTTTCTTCTGGCGGCCGCCATTGTCATCGTCGTCAGGGTGGGGCGTGACAAGGCTGCTGCCGTTGGCGGCGATGGTGCACACCTCCTCGTACCTCGGGCAAATGATCCTGCCACCGTCCTTGAAGTTCTCTGATTTGGGCGTGATAGACTTTCCCTCGGGGCACTCGTGCCACTCACTGTTGGCGCCTGGGACCCGCACCCGCACCGCAGTGCCGGTGCAAATCACCTCCGCACACACACCACCATCAGTTAAGGCGGAGCCTCTTTTCACACCATCGATGTCAAGGCACCACGACCCAATTGCGACGGGGGACTCATGGTGAAACACAATTGGGGCAGCAGCGCAAAAGCGAGGCAATTGCTGTGCTCCTGCAGCTCCCACTTGGAGCGCCTGCGCAGTGCGACAGCCGTCCACCGAAATCGACGACGCTGTGGCATCCATGTGCGCAGCACAGGTGCCAACGGCGTACCTGTTGAACGTGCAGCGGTTAGAGACGTCGGTGCTGCCGCACAACATCTTGGGGTAGTTACTGGAGCCCATTGCTGTGCACTTGTTGTTGAGGTACTCGCAGCCGACCTTGTCTCCCCAACCCATCGGCTCTGCCATGGTGAACCGGGCCTTGTAAAAGGGCATGTCGTCAAACGCAGCAAGCGTCAACGCTGTGTAGAAGCCGGCCCCACCAATGGGGGCCATCAACTCATCCCTCGCGTTGCGCGTTGACCAGTGCGATTGCAGCGCCTCGCCCGGCACTCCCTGCAGCTCCATGCCCTCCAGTTGGGTGCAGCCAAAGTGCCTTTGCGTCCGCCTTTTCACCTGGTTGGAGGTCACCCGCGTCACAGCCTTCCCCATCCCGCGTACGTTGCTGGCGTTGGCCACCATGCTCAGCTTCTGCATCTGCCGGTAGCCAAAGCCGAGAGCATGCGCAATCTCGTGTGCGGCAATACGAACGCTGAGCCGATTGAAAACAAGCTCGGAAAGCGCAAGATTCATGACGCCGACCAGTGGCCGACCATCCACCGTGGCACATGGAGCAGCCCACGTCTTCTTACCCAACCCTGCCGTCACGTAGAGCACCATGTCGGCATCAGGTACGCCTTTTATGCGATGCTGACGGGGTACCGTAAAATAACGGCAAAGATTTCTTTTGTGTTCAAAGGAAGGGACCCTCAGCCGACCTCTCACAGGCTGCACAAGGAGACGCTCCGCATGAAGCTTGACGGCCTCGGGAATGACCAGTTTCGTGATGATTTTTACCTTCTGAGACGCGTAGCCCCAGTCAGAACAGTACGACTTTGCTTGCACAAAGTTGCTCTTCTTCTCCTTTTCCCATATTTTTACGTTGCTCTTTTGCTTTTTTATATCCTTCGGCTCCTCTGCCTGCGAGCAATGGGCCACCTGCTTCATGAGGTCCTCCGCGAAGACCTGGATGCGAATCGGAGCCCACCGGTCTTCAACGTCAACAAAGTAGGTTGAGGACGGCCCTACTTTCCCTGGCCCCCGATGCACCACCACCACAGAATCCATCTCTGCTTCCCCCATCACCTCGTCGAAGACGCAGCGGGGCGAAACGGCGGCAGCGCCGGCGGCGAGGCACCCACCCGCGCAGTGTATCGTGAGAAAGAGGAGGAGGAGCGGCAGTGCGGTGTAGTGTGGACGGCGCATCCTGTATTCCTCTGCCTCTTTCAGGTGCGTCTCTCGTGCTTTTTAAAAAAGTTGTTGTGGCGTTAACAGCCTTGATGTCCTTGCTTACCGTTTAAGTGTGCAGTGAAAATATAAGGAGAAGAGCGAGGCCACTAAGTGTGAGTTAAATAAATAAATAAATAAAAAACAAAACTAACAAACCAACGCAGGCAACACCAATCAAAGGGGAAAATAGAGGTTGCTTGCCTCAATGACGTCCGCGTATGAAAGGCGCTAGAAGCGCCGGTAACGGGGGTGAGAATGACACTGCTGCGGTGAAGCAACAGGGGCAACACGTACGCGTAGAGCTGCCCCTCCCCATAACCCCCCAACGTCCCCCCCCCCTTCGCCGCGTTGACGTCGCTACCGCAGCAAAAATTGTTGTCGGTTGTGTCCACCGCCCGCCCCTCTCTCCCTTTTGCGTTTGTTCGTCAAAAGGTGGAGGCAGGGGGGCATGACGCGCAGTTTGAGTGCACACGGGGCAGGTGCGGCACGAAGTGGGAGGATGCCATTTTCACGGCTTACCCCTCACTCCATCTCGCCAACGGCTGCCTCCACAAGTTCCTTTTTGCGTTGTTCGTACTCCTTCATGACGGTAGAATCGAGCTGGGGAGGTTTTGCTTTGTCACGCTGCTGCTGTTGTTTCTCCGCAAGCAGTCGAGTGAAGACCTGCTGCAGTTCCGGCAGCGACTGTGCCGCTCGCAGCTGCGCAATGCACCTGTACGACTGAAACAACGCTACAGTGCGGACCTCACACGACAGGCGTCCGCAAATATTTGGGAGTGTGTCCAACCCTTGCGTAAACATCTTGTGTGTCCGCCACGACGACGCGGTGGTAGTCGTACCGTTGTTTGCAGCGAGCACATTGCGAAAGAATTGCAGTCCTGTCTTCCTCTCCACCTCACTCACTGCAACCTGGTAGGCGACAAGCGGCCGCTCATCTGTGATGGGCTCGTTTGGCATCAAAAATGCGGCAACCTCATGGGTCCCGTCGGCCCGCTCGCCAAGCACGACTTTGAAAAGGTGCGTTGGCACAGCCACATCGTGTTTACCCACAAGTTCGTAACAAACCACCTTGCGCGCCTTCTTGACATCCCCGTTGACACCGTTCAGCGTTGCTGCTGGGGTGATGGCGGACGTGGAGCGGGCCTCTGTCCACCCCCAGGAGCGTGGATCACCGTAGACGTAGCGCGGATGAAAGACAGGGCCAGTCACCACCCACAGCCCGCCTTCGTACCGCCGCATCAGCCTCTTCGTAAGATTCTCTAGGCGTAGCCAGTCCACAGCATTCATCGTCATGTCCTGCGGGACAATGTTTGCGTTCATATTAAACGTCTCCGCCATCTCCTTTGGGGAGGTCTTGTGAAACTGCGCTGCGGCGAGGTGACCACGACTTAGTCCTCGCGTGAGCTGCAGCTGTTGTTGTTCTCTTCCCCCGCTGTAGTCGTCAGGCGTCACTCGAAACGTCTCCGGGACGGTGGTGTCCGCAAAAAACTTCATTCCCTCCCTCTTTACCACGGAGGAGTCCTCTTCGTCCTCCCCACCCCCCGTCGGCGTCGTCGTCGTGACGGCAGTGGCGGGGCCCGGGATGTACTCCAAAACCCAATTCGGAATCCGCCTTTCGTAGTTGAGGCTCGCCACGAAGCCGTCAAAGAAGCGCACGCGCTCATCCGAGGGAAGGCCTTTGCTCACTGTTTTTTGCATGAACGCGGAGAGCCGCCCCGCGGAGGCATCACTCCACACAGCCTCACGCAGTGAGGAGGGCGCTTGCGCAGGCCCGGGCGACGGCACGTCCAGCAATCTCGGCTGCTCGTGCCTGGGACGCCGGCCGCTGGCCCGCTCCGCCATCATGCCCAGCGCCGCTCCTACGAAGGTGGCACTGAGAAGCGCGAAGACGCGCCCCATCGCAGAGGCAGTTGTGGACGACGGCGACATGCCTGCGATGTTGCGTATTCACGCCCGACGTCCCCCGCCGCTCCCTTTGCTCGTGCAGTCACCCCTCCCCTCCCCTACGCAGGCAAAGGAAGACAAATGTGTTTATGGGAGGAGTAGGAGGACAAACCACAGAAAAGCCCGCGAAAGACAAAAAAAATTATCGAAGCAGAAGTGTGAATGTGAACTGCACATCAGTCATAGCAGAAAGACAAAAGTGGTGGAGCTGAGGCACACACATACACGAGGGTTGTAAAGAGCAGAGGCGGTGGCTGGGCCAGCAAATGCAACAGCTAAGACGCGTCAGCGCACCGAGAAGGTGATACACTACAAGACAGAGATACACACACACACACACAAATGTCATCTCACACATTGGGGCTGAAGGTGACGGGGTTGGTGGTGAAATCGAGTGTGGCACCTCACAAAATTTAAAAAAAAAAAAAAAGGAAGAACAGGGGTAGAAAAACAGTACAGAGATGACTTGCGGGTGCCTCGTCGTACCCGTCACATGCCGTTGATGCCCCTTCGAAAAGCTCAAAGAGGGGCAGCGGCCCTCCACTCCCCAGATATATATATATATATATTATGTACAGAGAGAGAGATAAAGGGAGAGAAGTGGGGAACGTGCATGAATGGGTCTTTTCTCTCTCTCCCACGCCTTCCTTCTCGCGCCACTCGTCTACGCACGGCTGAAGACACACACACACACACACATACAGATATCGAGTGAGTGATAAATCGCAATAAGTGCAGTTGAATACATGCAACTATCCACGTACAAAGCAAGAAAACGGCCGCTAAGCATAGCTACAGAAACCAGGCCCTACGGAGTAACAAAAACAGCGGAAAACGTGCAATAAATAAACAACCTCCTCACATTTCCTTCAACCTGCCTCTTTTACTGTTCTTTTGGTTTCTTCATGATTTTCCCATTATCCTGTTCCCCCTTACATTCTCTTTCATTCCATCTTTGCCCATTCTTCCCCTTGGCTTTCTTTCTAGACATATGAACATAATTACAATAATGGTTGAAGAAAGGGGGCGTGGAACTTTTCTGCGTGTGAACGCACCACGCTTCTCCACCTCTTACATGTAATCTCACGCGTAAAAAATATACATAGATAACTTTTGCATGAATAATGGGCTCCTCCCCCTTCCCCCCGCTCTCTCATTGGGTGGGTGTACGCACGTGCATGTGTGTGTGTGTATGTGCCCCCCCCTCCTCCCCTCCCTCCTTTTTTTTTTCTCCCGTTTCATTCCAGCAAGGGGATGAGAGTGTGTGTGTGAAGGGGGTGGGAGACGTTGTGGTGCCCAGCGCTCCCCCGGCCTCATCACCATCGCCGCATCCCACGCACACGACGAGATGAGAACCAAAAAGAGGAGAATTATTTTAACAGATAATGAGAGGGGGAGGATGCTTGTGGATACGATCAACATTTTCAGAGTTTGAAGGCGAGACGCGATCGTCCAAGCAAAGAAGCAACCGAAGCTGCAGTGGTGGGGATTGCCAGGGGCCAGATCAAGAGACACGAATCTGCACACCCTCCTTTATGCTCTTTTTGTTTTTGTTTTTGTTTGTTTTTTTGTTTGTTTGTTTGTTTCTTTCCTTTTCTCCCTTCCCGGCCCCCATTGTAGTTATTCATTCACTTCCCAAGTGGCCGCTGGGGTGTTATTCGCATGCTGCACCGCTCCGTACGACCTACCCCACCCGTCATTGGTACGACTAATACCATCACACCAATGGGGGAACTCCTCTGGCCGTCCTTGCCGCTGCTGTAATCGGTATTCACAGCCACTTTACGATACGTATGCACAGACATACATAAATAAATACATATTGCACGTACACTCGGTGCGGTGGGAATGGCCTCTTTTGTACTCATTTCTGATTCTTTGCCTTCAACTGTCGCTTGCACCTGCACCGCTGCATGGGGAGGGCCGGTTTAGTATCGATCCAACACATGCTCCTCATTGTTGGCATCTAGCGGGTTGCTGATCTCCAGCTCCTCCTCGTCGTCCAGTGTGCTCTTAAACATCGGCCGCACGGGCGCCACCACGGCTGCCAACCGCTTCCGCTTTGAGGTGAGAACCACCACAATCGCAATGAGCGCTGTCAGCACCACCGCCGCTGCAACTGCCACGCCAATGATGCAGCCGCGGTTGCACGCCGGCTTGTATGGCGTCGTGTTTGCCGCCGTATAGTTCTTCAGCAGATACTCCAGCGGAGCCCAGTCGGTGCCCTGCAGGCACCGTGACACATTGAAGTTGTACTTCTGCGGCACGAACACCTCGTACTCGTTCTGCACGTTGAAGGGAGGACGCGTGACCAGAGTCTCGGTGCGATTGGTGATGACAGCTTCACAGGTGCTATTCCTGTCCCCACCAGCGGCAATACCCCCACCGCCCATGAACGATTTGCACATTTCCAGTTGTGCATTTACCATGTTTTGAATGAACCACCGCACCTCCATGTCCTGCACCGGCGTCAGTTTCGAGAAGTCAAATTGAGGGAAGGGGAACACGAGCTGCACCACATTCGCGGCACCGTACTCCACGCGGAGAATGTCCCGAAGAGCCGTATTCGCGTTCAATTCCGCCAAAATTACATGGCTGGTGTTGTTGTTGAACCGCTCCGGCATAAGTAGCTTCATCCTGGTGATGTTTGTGATATTGTTGATCGTGACCCTCATCGGTGGGTTGGCGTAAATCAGCGGAAACTCCAGGACTTTCCGCACCACGGAAACCAGCCCATGCATCACGTCATTCATCATGGTGGCGTTGCAAAAAGGAAATATGCTCGTGTCCATGTACAGCGCCTCGTCTATCCTGTCGTAGTACGCCTCCACCGCGCGCTGCACCGCCGCAAAGTCCGTGGTCGCCACTTCCCCAGGCGTAGTGACGTTCACAAAATCCGCTTGTTGCACCAGTACGACAAAGTCTGTGACCCACGTGGAATCGTTCACATGCATGCTGTTTTGAGGTGCGTAGGTGCTGTTTGTGCCCAATTTTTTGTTGAGTGCCTCTTTCATGAGTGCGACGATCTCTGGTATGACTTTCGGTGCATCCGGGTAACCCAGCGGCAAAGGTGGGGGCTGCAGCTGCGCCGGAACAATCGCAGGCGGCAGCGTCACAGCGCGCACTGTGTTCAGATGACTTGACAGGTACATTTCATTCTCGGCAAGCACAAAGAGGCGCCAATTCAAACACATTCTGAAGGTGTAGCCGTCAACCACAGGGGGGCACGTAAGGCTGCTGTTACCAGCAAATAAAACCACCGTCATGCTGGAGGCTTCGACATGGAGGTGGTAGAGCTGGTATGACGACATGGCGTACAACGCACCTGAAGGCGCACTGAAGACATCGATGTAGCTCCCGGGAAGATGGGAAATTTTGGTGCCACTGCTGTCAAAGTGGCAGATACCCATTTGGGATGAGCTACCGACGACGAAGACGCCTAGCGCGTTTACAGCAATGCCGTTGTACTTTGTATACTCACACTTAAATCCATGCTGCCCTTCGCACTTCGTGGGAGTTCCATCCACCCCAATCTCGCAGCTCCACACCTTGTCCATGTTTTGCTCCGTCATGTACAGCCTATCGCCATAGAGTGTAACATCGGTGAAGGAGAGACCATTTTCTAATTGAATGCTGAGGACACTGTTGTTGGTGATGTAACGCAGCCTATTTTGACTCTCCACAAAGTACACAAACATCATGTTATTCCGCAGGGTACGCACACACCCTGCCGGTTTGTCAACGCGTGCATTTGCCCATGAGTCGTCCACGTCTGTGGCTGTGCCGTTGCCAAGGAGTGTACCCGTCATCTGCGTGCTTCGGGAGTAGGTGCGAAAAAAGCCCTTCACACCAATCAGTATCTCGTCCTCGTTGCGGCCTTGACAGAGCGCACGGGGTCGCGTTAGCAGCGACTTTCCACGACCACCGTTGTCAGTCCCAATGACGCCCGAAACCCCAGAGACCGTTTCTACCATGTACCTCAGTGGCATGGCCGTTGCCATCTCGTGCGTGGTGGCGGCCAGCACCGAAGTGACAATCAAAAGAGCCTGAAAGGGCGAGATGCGCATCGCTGTAGACGCAGGTAAATAATATGCCTACAGGACGTTCTGCACTTACTATATATTTCTCCACGTTTGATCCTCCCCTTCCGTTCAGCCTCCAGGTTGTTGCTTTGCGTGCCGACCCAATGTACTCACACATTCACAGAGAGAAGGAAAAAGAAAGATAGAGGCAAACACGCCGTGGTTGTGTGGGGGAGCAGGTGCCTGCACGCCAAGAGCCTCCGGCCCGAGAAAGGGAAAGAAATAAATAAGCAAAAAAGAATATATATATATATATACTTTTCCTTTGTTATTTTCATTTTGAAAAGAGTGAGGAACTGTGCGTAACAACTGCGACCGGAATCCCCACGAAACGTTTGTCTGCGTTGAATTCCCCTCTCCCCTCGGCTGCCTCGAAGGTCCATGCGCGCCCTTCGCCCGTACGTTTCCTTTCCCTCCCCCCCACGTGTCGTGCCGGCAAACAAAGATGCAAAAAAAGAGAGAGATAAAGAGACAAACGGAAGGGCGACGGCATGTCTCCACACGCACACATACAAAACTTGAGGCGAGAGAGGGGTGGCCGAGGTGCCAGGGAACAACAACAAGAACTAATATACATACAACACAACGACCACGACAGCGGTAACGACCTGAGTGAAGAAGAAATAAGAAGAATAATAACGACAGGGCGGGGAGAGATATGCCTGTGTGTTGGCGCGCAGCGCAGCCTCAACGGTGCACTTCACGGCAACGCCGGCGTGGGCGATCCATCGCCCCCTCACACGTGGCAGGTAAAGTCATCAAATGACGGTGCGTGTGTGTAAGTGTATGCTGCTTTTTTCACACCTCATCTTTTTCTAGTTTCCGCCCCTCTCCTCACACACACACACACACACACACACACACATACACATACATATACATATACCCATGCAAATGCACATGCACGCACGCGCCCATAAAAAAGAAGAGAAAATAAGGGAAGGGGTAAAAACAGTACACGAGGAGCCAATACAAAAAACAAACAAACAAACAAACAAACATAAAAAAAAACACGGAACTACCAACGATAAAATACATGCATGAAACACGAATCTCTCCACATATTTTCTTTTCCCTTCGCTTTTGTTTTTGTTTTGTTCTCGTCGGCTTCTTCGTGCTGTTCCCTTCATTACGTCACTCAACATGGCCTCTTTCATTGCTACTCTCTTCTTTTTTCTTCCTTTTATGTGGGAGGATGCGGCTCCACTTTGCACGTCTGGTTCTTTCTAAGTTCATTGCGGTGCCGCCGCTGCCGCTCCCCGCCCCCTCGCTCGGGTTGGCCCCCTATACGGGTGGCACAAGCAGCACGGCGCTCAGCGCGTTCGCAGGGCTTCCAATCATCAGGGCAAGCAGCACAACGCCGGTGGTGCCGAGCACCGCGGACGACACCGCCGCCCCCACACAGACGTCATTGCACCCCGTGGGTTTCACGTAGCCTACACACTGCGTCCTGTCAAAGGTTATCGTCTCGCACTGCTCAACGCAGTTGAGCATACAAAACTCCTCTACGTGTATCCCCGGTACCTCCTGTTTTATGGAATTAAGGAATTTTATCGTCCAGTACCACGGTGACGCAAAGAGTCTCTGCTCCCCCTCCTCAGACGACATACCGTACGGCGTGTAGTACTCCATGATTGCGATGGTGCCGTCGAAGTTAAGCTGCGTCGTCAGGTTTGTCCAGGTGGAGACGTTCACGTTGCCGGGAACGTCAAATTTTCCTTTGGGCGGAAATACGGCAATAAAATCGGTGGAATTAAACGCAATTCCCACATCCTTCATCATCCATGCGTGAAGCTCGGCCATGAGTTTTTTGTTGGCAAGTGGAAGACTTACGGCAGGAAAGGCGGTCACGGTGTTGCCACGGTATTGAGAAATGGTGATGGTTGGGGTCGGTGTCAATGTGATCGTTGGGGTGGGGATGGGCGGCACCGTGGGGGTGATCGGTATCGTTGGCGTCACAATCGGCGTCGGTGTCGGCGTCACAATCGGCGTCGGCGTCGGCGTAAACGAGGTGTCCCGCACACGGTAAACGTTGGAGGTGGTAACGACGTAAAACTCATGCTGGTTCACACGCACGAGCGATTGAACGTTGTCCTCTGTCCACTCCATCACCACCTGTGGACAAAGCGTAGGTGCTTTTTCCTTCTCCGCCGTGGTGGAGATCGAGAAGATGTATTTCTTTCCATCTCGATTGCCGTAGTAGTACAGTTCAGTTTCGTCCGCCGTGAGCATGAGGGCGCTGAGGTAACCCACGCAGTTGACGTCGCCAATGTACCAGGTGCTTGCGGAGGCGTTGACGTCATCCATTTGAATCGCCTTGATTCTGGTGCTGCTGGCAATGGCAAACATAAGCTGCTTTGACTCACTGATCTGCAGGACACCTGGCTGAAAGCCGGCGACAAACCTCGTAATGAAGGTGGACTCCAGCAGCGGGGCAAAAATGATGCGCGAGTTGCCGGTGTCGGAGACAAACAAGTCGTGGGTGCTCTCTGAACGTCGGTAGGGGAGGATGTAAGACGGACTGTGCAGCCCTGCTGAGATAAAGTTGTCCACATTGCCCTCCGCAACTCGTCGAATGGCGTCGTTGCTGCTGTCGGCGACGTACAATGCGCCGCCCTCGTACACCACGCTACTGGGCATGTTGAAGAGCGCCTCCGCGGCGGGTCCGTCTTTCTTGCCACGTTTCGCGCGATCACCGGCAATGGTGTAGATGCCGGATCTGTTCACAAGACGCACGGTAGAGCCACCGCCGCCGACATCGCAGAGCAGCAGCGAGTGAGAACCCGGGCCGAGGAAGCCACCGGCAGCAGTTGAAAGGATCCCGACGTCGCTTGGGCCATCTGTTTGCCCCTGCGAACACCCTATGCAGAGGCGGCTTTTGAAAAAGTTGTATATTGTCCACGACTGCGAGGGAGGATCCTCAGCCGCCGCAGGGCAGGCAGCCCACACCGCCGTCAACAGCAGCGCCACGAAAAGTGCTGACGGCCACGCCCTTCTTGCAAACACCACATGCATGACAGACGCTGTGCGGTGTCGGGACGTCCGAGTTGCGTGAGTGCTTTCGTTTTGCTTTTGTTGTCCTGTGTGTGTTTTGTTTGCTTTTTAAAGTCTCAATGTATCGCTTCGCTTGCTTCCTCTTCGTCCACCGCGCTCCTTCTTCCCTTGCCCCGCTAATCGCAACCACCAGAGACAATCTCTCTATCTATCTCTCTCTATCTCTCTACTGTTACTGTGCGGGCACCCCACAGACAGGAAGGATAGGTGAGAAACATAGAGAAGCCGTCCATCGCACGGTCACACACACACACACGTCCACGGAGAGAAGAAAAAATGGGAGGACAAAAAACAAGAGGCCACAGTGCGTGAGAGTGTACGGCAGTGCAGTGAGGTTGAGAGAATGCAGCGGAGAGTGAGGAAAGGAAAGAAAAAAAACACACACAATACAAAATCCATGCGAGAAGCAAAGAAACAATGTGGAATCCAAGGCCCCCAACAAACACACCCTTAATGGAACGACAAAACAAAAGATAAATTAAGTAAATACATGTATGCATGTGGGAAGACAAAGACGTGCCGGTACACACGTACATAAGCATCCAAATAAGAGGCTGGACATCACAACGGCAAACACAACAATAACACATAAATGTACGTATAGCCGCACAGCAAAGAAACGTTAGTTCATTGCTTGTTTTGTTTGTTTTATTGTTGCTTCCTGTTCTTTTGATGTAAGTCGTCCGTTTACCCCCACCCACCTACCCGCTCTCTCTCATCTCTGTCCAATATTATATCTCTGGGTCAGAGGGAGTTTTATTCCTTCTTGTGACCGGCAGTGCCGACAACGGCGCGTCGGATGAGAGGAAAAACAGTAAAAACAAGTGCCACGTGCGTGCCCACGTGAATGCTACGTGCAATGGTGCCAGCGTAAAACCCAGCAATCCCCCGCCGACAATAAATATCGTGGAAGGAACGCCTTAAGCCTCTTATGTGCGGTGACTCAGACCCGCTCAGTGAAGTTCCGCTGCTGTTACAACTGGCGGCACGGTGTACCACACCGGACTGCATCTGTGTCTTGACCACATCCACGGGTTGCGTGACCAAGACGGAAAAAACACCAGCAACAAAGCCAGCGAGTCCATTCCACAAAGGACTCTTTTGACGTGCCTTTTGCAGTTGCCTCATCGTTTCTACGCCTACCGCTGCTGCCCCTCCTCCGCTTTCGCCATGGGTGACTTCTATGGGATGCCACATGGCAACAAAGGCCTCGCAGCAGAAAGTGTCCATGACAAACTTCTGTGCGGGGAAGCGCAGAGCCTGGTTCAGCCCCTGTTTCAGCATCGTCGCGCTCACACCACTGTAAAACGTGCGTCGGAAGCCGCACTCCCGCACCATCAACAGAACAGCGCGACAGGTGCCAAGGGACTGGTAGCGTGGAAACGCCTGCCTGGAGTCGTGAATCATGCGCGTCTTAACGCTCTCCGTGGGGCTTACGGCACACGCCGTCTCAACGCACCCCGCAAAAAAACCACAGAGACTCAGCACAGGTAGAGAGACTGTTGGTTCCTCACCGCGTACACCGCCGCCCCCGTTTACCAGGGTCTTGGCAGTGTCCGTGGCCCACTCGTACGCGCCCCAGCGAGAGGCCTGCTTCGGAATGGAGCCTAACAACACGGGGACAAATCCCCTATACAAGCCCAGCGGACTGTGCTGCTGCACAGTTCTTTTCACACAGTCCCAAATACCATTGTACATGTGCGGCAACGACGAGGAGGAGGGTGCATGAAGGAGCTGTTGAAGCTGCAGATGCGTCTTTACGTACTCGAGGGGGTACGTGACAATCGCCTCGATACCACCTGTTAAGGCACCCGCAAGAAAAGACCACAAAGCGGCATAACAGTTATCAACGTTGCGCGTTAACAGCTCATTACCTTTAGGTAGATGGAGGGTGGAAATGGGAATTAAAGGCACCGTGACCACATCTTCGGTTACTACGGACATCCTTGAGGCACAAAACCTACTCAAGAAAAGAGAGAGTGAAATCAACAGACGTACAAGTCATCATGCGTAGTGCTATGAACAACAGCTGTGCGCGTATGTGCGTGTTGGACTTCGCCCCTGTTAGTAGTGCCGCTGCACCGCCTTAAGCATCCTCTAGTTTTTTTTTTTTTTTTCTATCGCTTCTCCGCATTTCACACAACTTTTCTCTCAGACTCCCCGCCCCCCTCTCTTCAGCTTTATTCGCCTGCTCTCCTTTTTTATTCCCTCCTTCTTTTTTTGTTTGCCTTGGATCAATGAAATGGCGGGGGTGCTGCCCCACCGACAGAGCTCGTGCCACCGGCGCCACTGCCAGTTCCCGTACCGCTTCCTCCCCCTTTGCCAATGTGAAGGAAGTTGCAGTATGGTCCACGCCTGCACCCCTCCCGCGTATTAAAAAAGGCACACACCCTGCCATACAACGCATTGTTTACGTGACGTTCATTACGCCGTATCTGCGAAAGCCGATAGTCCTCCGATGACGACGGCGGGAAGGTGGGGGGAAGTACAGATGTACCCAAGACGGACGGCGCTGAGTGGCTCTGCTGCTGTTGATGCTGCTGTGGCTGGTGGGTGTAAGAGTAGACGCCACTATCTATCACAGGTGGCGCCGTTTCGTTTGGTGTAAACGACGCGCCGTTATGCTTTCCATCAGTAGTTAGCACCGATGAGACCAGCGGGGCTGCGGGCGCGGGGACCGCCGCCTGGTAGTACGGCGGGGCGGCGGCTCCCGCGCGGGGTCGAGGTGCGTCCATCGCATGGCTGTTTGTGTGGTTGCCCCCGCCACCCGCATTTCGTGTGTGGGCGGCAACCGTGAGAAGGTCCAGCGACGAGGGATCGGCGCAGTTGATGTCACAGTGACCATTCATCGCAAAGTAGAAGTCCATCAACGCCTGGTGCGCCACGTGCGGCGGGGGACGCAGCGAGAGCAGGTTCGGCAGCGTCACGGACTGCACCTGCTCCGAAGGAAGGGGCTGGTACGGGGAGGTCTGGATCTTGCGCACGAGACAGACGGCCGACGGGGCGGCGTGCTCCAGCACGTAATTTGTTTTCACCGCCCCTGCCGAGTGGTACGGCGGCGCTGCCGCCGCGGACGCCACGCGGGAAGCGAGCGACACCGACGAGGGATCTGCTGAAGGTGGGGCCGTCATTTGACGCTACAGGGCAACTGCAGAGGCAGGCACACAAGGAGACCAACGATACGCAACAACAACAACAAGAGCAGCAGCAGCCGCAACAACAAAAACAACTACTCAACTCCGCCCTTGTCGTTTTCTTCACTTCCTTCTCGCACCCCAACACATATCTGTTCGCCTCTGCACGTCACTGCATGACCCTTGTGGTTGTTGCAGTCTGCCACTGCGCCTGCAGAGGAGGCTCCCACAACGGCCGCACGTAGACGCAACGGTGTCTCTCGCCACACGTGTACACATCTCTTACTTTCGCACACGCGTCGGCTGCGGACCTCTGTCGCTGCTACTCACCCCAGCAAGGAGGTTATCCTCACCTTTAAGTTCCGCCTCATCATCGTTCTCAAGCTCGTTGCATGCACTTGACCCAAGTAGCGCCTTCCTCGCACGCGAGTGATACCACGCCGCCTGCTCTGGTGGAAGGGCCCCAAAGTCCTCCGGTGTGCTCTGCGGGTGAGACTGCAGGTACACCATCATACCCATCAGCTCGCTCATGGCCCACGACTCTCGCTGCTGCCGCCGTCGTCGGGCGGTGACGGAGGAATTCTCCCTGCGCTGCTGGCATTCCTCATCCGTCACAGGGTGAAAGTCACCGGCAAGGCACAGGTGCTCCCCAACGAACTTCATCAGCCGGTAACGGTGACATGGATGCACCGTGACGTTGCCCGTGTGCGGGCATGGCAGCAGCAGAAGTGGATAACGATTTACGGTGACGTCCTGCAACAGGACCCCTTCGTGGCCGAACAGCTTTCGAGGATTGACGTACGGCGTGAGGGCGGCCACACGCGATGGCCTTTCGTTGAGGTAAATCATAAAAAACGATCCACCCTCGCCACTGACAACGGGGGCCACGGTGTCCGCAACAATCGCAGAAGGTGACAGAGCAGAGGAAGTCGTGGTGTGTTCAATCGTGTCACCACATATCCTGTGTGTTGGGCTTCGCGGGGGCACGTATCCCTCATCTGCGTGGAACGCAGCAACTGAGGAGAGGGATTGGCCGCTGTCGTTGCTGTGGCTCCCCTCTTCCCCGCCACTGCCGCCTGAGGCACTGGAGTCACCTCGTTGCCGTTTGCGCGAGGCCGTAATCCCGGGTGGGGCTGTGCGCTCCAGCATCCACTGCGGCGTCGCTTCTCTCATTTGCCTCTCCCGGCTCCGCCCCACCCACCGGCGGCACGCCTACACGCAACTCAGAGAGGGGGAGCAGCTGGCCCGGTGTATTCTTGTAAACTCCTTCCTCCTTCCTGCTACGTGTGAGAAGGGAGCAAATGGCATCAACGCAAAAACGGCGTTTCTACCCGGCAGGCAGGGGTATAGCAAAAACCCCCCAAAAAACAACAACAACAACAGCTAAACACGCACACGCAGCAAAATAAGTTGAAAAATATGTGTGTGCGTGTGTGTGTGTGTGTGGGCTCGTCAGCTGAACTCGCCTCTCCCTCCCTCCCTCCCTCTCTCTCTCACACAAACACACACATACACGGTGGACACGTGAGAGTGCTGCAAGGATGACGGAAACCACGCAACTCGAACAGCCAGGAAAGATCTACATCTGGGCTTGCCCCAGCCAGTTCTCTGCAGCTTGAGACGCGGGACTTGCCTTAGCGCGTTTCGCGTTCCCCGCATGGTGTCATGCAAGCACCCAACGACGCATCATCCGCTTCAGCCTCCTGCCAGGTATCCACCCAATACTCAGTCGCCTCTTTTCTCCCTACTCGCTGCTGGCATGGCGGCGCCTGGCGAGGGTCTGGGAAAGGGGGCAGTAAGGCGGCACGGTGGCACGTGGATTCGACGGGTGGGAGCCTCTGGGCAACGCCACCGCCTCGTGTCATCCCGTGCGCGGTGGGCCAAGCCGCACGGTCGGTCGTCCCTGCAACTCATCCTCCTCCACTTCCTCCTCCTCATCGCTAAAGCCGCCGTAGTTCAACGCGTCAACGGGAATCCCGGAACTTTCACGTGGGCCACTGGCACTACTCCCCCCAGAGGTATGATGGTAGCGCAGTTGCCGAGGAGACCATGAGGGACGTCCTCCTTCTGGAAGCATGTCATCGTCTTCCGTGAATGCCCCCCAGCTGTTCTGCGACGGTTCTGCCGCAGTGTTTGGCATGACCGTCGGACCACGCAGCTCAGTGTAGCGCCCTGCCTGGTAATTCGCATCTGTGGGTGGGGACGGCGCTTCACCCTCCTGCCGTTCGTACGTATAGGCGGAAGGGTTCCGATGACTGGCTGTGAGCGCGTGGCTTCGCGTATTGCGTCGTTGGCGCCAGATGTGTGGTTGACCCACAAACGCAGGTGAGGCACGCTGATGCAGTGAGTAGGTTGCGCGAGGCTGCAGAAACGGCACGTCGCAGTGATACCGCAGCAGGGCGTTGCGGTTCGCGTTGTAGTACGCCATGAGGAGGTCTGGGTAATCTAGCGGGGATCCCGAGGACGCCGGGAGGGCGGCGCGACCGGAAATAAATGGGATGCTGCATCGCCGCGGGAGTTGCTGCTGCCGCTGCATCTGCGCAGTGTCGCTGCCGCCGCTGGGCAGGTGGTTACCCACCCGCGACGCCGCGAGCTCGTTCCACGCCTGGTGCACAAACGCGCAAAACAACTCTTCTGTTATCATGTCTTCTTCCACTTCTCTTCGCAGCCTCTGTCCCTTTCTACGTGTCCACGTGCAAACACCGCCCCTGCAGGTGAGCAAGGGGGAAAAGACGAAGGAAACACACACCGCAGTGTCGCCCAAATCAAGAGATAGAGAGAAAAAAAAACATTATTCAACCGAGTACTCCCAGTACGACGCACACACACACACACACACACACACACACACACACAACAACGCAGAGA